TTCTTGAATATCATCACAAATATGTTTGTATAGGGTCTTGATTGACTACAACATTGATGTGTGATAGCCTTCAAAGTAATTAATTGATTTTGATTGCTATTCGGTATTTGTCAATGTGGGAGATCATTTGTCAATCATCTTGCAGATCATAGTGAACTTTCTGGCACACAATTGATCATGCAATACAAATAAGAACCCTTATCTTGGTTCTTTTAGTTTTGCTAGGCCTAAAGGAAAGCCAAGAGAAGGATGGTTACATATAGAATAGGAACAGGAAAGTTGTTGAGGTTATAAAATGGCAGGCCATTAACCGTAAGTTCACACGTCTTTGACATTAGAGTCCTGTTTAGGTTTGGTTATTTTCTGAACACATCATTCTAGAAGCAGATTTTGAGCATTTCATGATGGAAAATTGGGAATAAGCTGAAAGAATGGGGGTAGGGAAGTTGGTTGCCAGTTGTCAAAATTTTGTGTGTGTTAAATTGCTTGCTCTACACTGTAATGACATGCCTTCTATTTCTCACTCCAAATCTTGAGGATATGGTGTTCTCCTTTTCTCTACAGATAGCATTCCGTGCAAAAATTGGAACAAAGTATCAGCTTCCTCATAGAGGGATCATCCCAGAAGAATTTGGAGTGGCAAGTCTTATGCTTTCCGATTTTGAAAGCGTTTTATTCACGTACTTTTTTCATTTTTTTGTGGTGTGAGTTCTCTGAGATCTTTTTGGCAATTCAGATTGCTCGATATCGAGGACAAGGGAGGCTTGCTGATCCAGGATTTCAAAATCCTCGATGGGTGGATGGTGAACTTGTTATTCTAGATGGAAAGGTTTGCACTTAGCCTCGATTTTGAGTCGTTAGGAGTAAATTGGTTTTGTTCTCTCTTAGTTACTGTTGCCATAATTTCTACTATCTGCTGGTTTTTTGCAGTACATCAATGGAGGTCCTGTTGTAGGCTTTGTATACTGGGACTCTGAGTACCATTTCTTGGTGTTCTTTAATCAGTTAAGGCTGCAGGGGTAGATTCTCTTTGTACATGAAGTTTCACAAATCATTTTTCTACCTGATTTAGATTTTGTAGGTAAGCTTTTCATCCCATGCTTAGCGTATACGTCATTTTTATGAAAATAAAATATGTATATTGCATGATATTAATAATTGAAGATTTTTCTTATGGAATGTTAGATTTGATGATCTTGATTAACCTTCACGATATTAGATTAATCTTATAATAGACCCTTATTTTAAAATATGATTTTCCAGCATTTTCCATTAATTGTATTGTTTTTTCTCGTTTTTGCAGTGTCAGATGACTTGTGTTTCCATCGAGTCCTAAGAGTGGAGCAGGAAAGTGTATACCCCTTGCTTTTAAACTACATAGTCCACCGTCACTCAACTGACAAATGTAATTATGATCTTTCTGAAGCATTAGTGCATGCGACGTAAGTAGGGTAACCTTGAGGTAGAGTCGATTTTGGGTGGCTACCAAAGTTCCATGATCTAGGATTGTTCGGCCTCTTGGTGCTCTTTATCAGTGATATCGACACCTCATTTGCTGTATGTATAGTAATTGCTGTATGCCAAATCTAAATTAACTGGTCGTCATAGATTTGAATAAAGTCGTGCATAGAACGCTGAAATCTTTGCTGCACCTTATCTTACATTCTTTAAAAGGTTTCAGGTTTTGACTTAGTTGTGTTGTATCTCGTATGTTTGTATTTCATTTTGTAGGTTTTCAGGATCATTGAAGTAAGAGTGCGCGGTAAAGTTGTCTTAAATATACAGAGCAGGTAGTGACTAATGCTGGTGTCATCTCAGGTAGTGCAAACTTCATAATTATTTGAGTAGACATGATAAGAACTAGTACACCATGGCTTTCTACAGACAATTTGTAAACGTACACATCATATATTCTTGGCGAAGCACATGATGGTGTTTGCCGTTACTTCTTTAGTGCACCAAACGACACATTCTTTGCTATTTTTGCTCCTCTTCCTTTAGCCATGTAAAGACCCATATGGTGCATTATTTCCTGCCACAAGACAAATGGTTCAGTAAGCCATCAATCTTTAGATCAGTGTTCCCACTTAGAGCCGCTTAAGTGGCTCCCTAGGCATTATGCGTCCCCCCACCACTTCGATTAATTAGGGCCACTTAATCGACTACCAGCAACCACACTACAACAAAATCGGTTTTTGGTCACCCTAACAAGTTTTTTAGGACACTCATGGAAGTGTCTTAAGAACACTGCTTTTTATAGAAACTTATTTTCATACAACACCTCGTTTTATTAAAAATTTGTCCTAAAATCTATCAACTTATTGTAACATCTTTACATAGTACGCACAATTCTTTGGTCCTATAAACTTAAAAGTCTTGTAAAGCCGTCTATTATGACAATTAGACATCTTTGACATCCTATAAAACCAATTTTATAGTAACGCGGACTGCTTAGTAGTAAATTCTTTTTACCTGGGGATGAGCAAGGGCATCTTTAGTGTCCCCTGCAGCTGCTGCTGGGAAATCGAAGGTGGCACAGCCTTGGGAATACACCACTACATCTTGCAACGGTGCAAGGAAACCACGGTTTCTTGCTGATAACGTGGAGCAAACAAAATCCAGCACACATATGTCCGTGCATATTCCTGCCACCAATAACTTGAAGAAGAAAACACATAATGATCAATTTTGAGGCAGTTGATGCAAATATTTTTCGGTGAAAGAAAGTAAGCTTAGAGAAATACTTACCAGTTGGATGTTGTTGGTTTTCACCCAGTCTGCAAAGGCATTTGAACCATCTTCTTCAATGGAACCTATATATCCATCATAACAGTCCTTGCGCCTGATGGTTACGTTTGGCTCTTTCTCCAACCACTCTAGAGCTGTATAAACATAAAGAGATGAGACCAAGGTGGTGGACTAATCAAAGGTCATAGGTTCGACTCGACGTCTCACCTCTTTGCTATAGCTGATCAATCAAAGGGAAAGGGAAAAAGAAAAGATACACCTAAGACCCTGATCCGATGCAAGCACATAGCCAAAAAGATCAGGCCCAAGCTACTAGGATGGGATACTAGAGTCACCCAAGCGACTAGTCCTGTCATGTGGTCAGATCCTGATCCCTAGGTCATTGTGTTGGGGTTCCACTTATTTTAACATGGTATCAGAACTTAGGTCTAGTACTTCTCGGAGGCTCAACATAGCTGTCCATCTTGCCCCTATTCTCTGGGGCGCCAAGCCTCCGTTTGAGGGTCGTATTGGAGTCCTACATCACTTAGACATGCTTCATCAAACCTTTATATCTGTAGGAATCTCCTCTTTTCTTGCAAGAGCTCTTTTAAAGAGAAAATCAAAGGGGGTTCAACATATTCTAACCATGGCAATAGGAACTGTTCTGGTAATAATCACTCAACTTAAAAAATAGGGTCTTTTAAGGTTCAGCAGGTCTCAACCAGTCCTCAACAGTTCCAATACCTGTTTTTCTGGCTTCTCTAGCAAGCAGCGCCTGGATTTTCCAGTTAACTCGTGTACATAGACGTTGCATAGAGACAATTTACCCGTGAGAGTTGGCTAGAAATGATCTCTCTTCACGGAAACAACCTCTCTACCCCCTTGGATATCGTCTAGGTCTGCATACTTCCTACCCTCCAAACGCTACCTCCACGTATGAGATTTACCGGGTCCATTTGGTTTGGCTAAAAATGGTCCAACCCCTGATCAAGTTCACATCCCCCCTCCCAACACACGTGTTTAAAAAAAAAGAGAGCCGATTCAATATATGATTGGAAGAACGAGAAGAAGATATAATACCAGGAACCAAATTGGATTCATGAGAGCCAGCAAGACAGTGAGAAGGATAAGGGTGCTCAAGCTTTCCAGGTTGATGTGTATCTAGAAATGCAAGAACCGGCCATTTCTGGTCACAAAACACTCTGGACAGCTTTTCTGATTCATTGATCATTTCCAGTATCTGGTTATTTGGCTCTCTAGGTGCCTTCACAAGCACAATCATCATTCACACATAAAACTTTGCATCAAATTGTAATACTAGTGGTATTTGGTTTACAAAGAACTGAAACTCACCAGATTTCCAGCTCCAATGGTGCAGAAGCCATTGATGATGTCCACAAGAACAAGGCCAGTGGTGATATCTTCAGGTATGCATACTGATTCTTCCTCTAATGGTATCTCTTTCTTCAAAAGCTCTACTGTGTGCAGCACCATTTTTGGTCCCTTGAGCTTCTCTATAATAAGCTGGCTGAATATTTAAGCAAAAAAGAAGGGTCCAGATCTTTGAAACTGTACCTTGTGGAATCATGTTAACCACTTTATAGGTAAACGACAGATTAGGATTCTTTTAGATAAGATAAAAGTGGCCCACATTAACCTCTTCCTTTTGTAATTTGTTCAAGAAAGTCTAGCATACCATTTTGAATTTTTTTTGTTATTTATGAGTGCGTTTTGTTATAATAAAGTATAAACATATACACATTTATATTTATAATTTATATATACATATTATAATACGAAAGGTTTAATCATTAATGAACTCAAAAAGCTGTGAGATCTGGAAGTACTCCTTTAATCTAAGGTTTGTAGCTTAGAGGATTAGAGCATGTGGCTACGAACCTAACTGGGGTTCGCGATGGTGGAGGGACTGGATCGGAAAAAAGAGGGACAAAAATTATCTGGTCAAAAGTTAGCACCCATGACTAATCTCACCCTATTAATAGGTTGATATGCATTTAGCTTACGTTTCTATTGAGCAGTCTATATTGGTTTTGATATAATTTAATAAAAAAGTAGAGGTGATTTATAAGGCGATCATTCTTTGGTGCCGACCTTCTCGTTATGTTACCATTGTTTTAACAAACAAAAGCGAAGGTGGGGTTCTTTTTTCTTCTGAATTGTGCGGTTTAACATGAACGGACTAATTGACCAAACCAGATCCTAAAAATGTAGTTTCGTCTGATTTAATCTTTTCAACTTCTTTTTTAATTTTAATTTTAATTTTATTTTATTTAATAACATACTTTTAATATAATAAGCTATGACTATAACATTAATTATAGGGCTTAATCATATGAGAATTTAAAATTTTTGTAAGATCAGATATAAACTAATTAGTTTAGTAACTTCTGATATGGAATGAGTCAATCATCCACTCTGGTATTTTATTGAACAAAAAATCATTTTAAAAGGGTATTTTGGCAAATTCACTCCAACGAATCCATCTTCTTCCACTCCCCTTCTCGTTGACCATCCCAAATTGTTCTTCACACACGATTAACGAAGTTCGGCGACAATCTCCTCGATTAGAAAACCCCGTCTACAAACTTAATTTGATCAGTTAAGTTCAGGGATTCTTAGACACAACATTACTATATAACACTTTGAGCTAAAACCGGCAATGTTCCATATGATTCATGCAATGGGTCATTTTGAAGGATTACCATCGGAAGATTTCGCACTCCCATTTAAAATCATTTTTAGAAAATGCGGATGCTTTTAAAATTCAAGAAGTTTCAAATGAAGCCTTACGGTTAACGCTCTTCACTTTGTTTTTATTAAAGGATAGAACTAAAGTCTGACTAAACTCTCGGTCACCCTATTCTATTGGTGCGTGAGCCAGTACCCCCAATCTAATATCAAGCTGATCCACAATTTTCACTATCATTCTCATTCCTTCCCTCTCAATGCCCCCAACCAAATAACCCTACGATTTTTTTTATATTTTTTATTAACTTGGATATCCAACATGCTATGCGAACCGACTAATTTTAGATCGACCACCTGCTTTGCGGGTGGCCCGGAGTCGCCACAATTGAACCTCTTGGTCAGAAAAGGATTTTTATTCTTCCTTAAATTTGAACCTGAGACCTCCAGATATTTTTGATTTCAAAACAATCAAGAATCACTCTTCCGATTAAGATTTTTTCAATAAAAGAGAGAGGTAATAATTTTATGTTTGATCAACACGTAGTCCAAGTTTAAAAGTTTATACCAAATTAGTCAGAAATGAGAAAGACTATGTTCATTTGGATATTTCAATTATAATTACCTTTTTGACTTTTAATATATTAATGTTTGTTGTTATATGTACATATAATATATATATATATATATATATATATATAAATTAAGTT